TTTTTCGCGCCTAATGATGAAACTGTCACTATATAAATGGGGTTCCTCTTCCATTTTCTTGTTTCGCCATTCCGAACTTCCTCAAGAGAGCCTTTTCCTGAATCTTCGCCGGAGATCTCTTTCCTCCCCCATCGTCAACTGCCCATTTTTCCTTAAAGTTTTAAGGCCAGCAGACCCATCGTTGCTTTCTGAACTTTCTGGAAGGAGTCGCCTAAAGTTTTCCAGAAAAAACTCCGTTTGACATTCGGGTGAGTCCTAGTATCTTTCCTCTTCTCTTCCTCCTATCCCTTTTTGTTTTTCGATGACTGGAGGTGTCTCCGGTTGATGTTTAGCTACTAATCCTCGGGAAGCTTCCTCAGGGATTTTTAAGGAAAAACACCCTCCACTTTCTCACTTTCTTAGAGATGCCTCGTCGTCGCCCTGCTCCCGAGAATCCTCAGGCTGGTTCTTCGGGGTCGGGGAAGTATAAAGTAAAGGGTGGTGAGCAGATTAATAGGTTTAAGGTTAAGTATAGCATTCCCCCATGCGTAGACATAGAGGATTATGACCCGGTGGTGCACTCTCCTACCCTTGGAGTCGAGGATGCTATACCCTTTTATACCAAGGCCATTATAGAGGGCGGAATTAGGTTTCCTTTATCCCATTTACTTCTTCAGTTCCTCTCTCACTTTCGCCTCTTCCCCGGGCAGTGTTGCCTTAATGTCTTCAGAATAATTATGGGGGTTTTAGAGCTCAATAGGCGCCTCGGGGTAAATATTGGGCTGAACGATCTCCTTTTTTGTTATTTCCTCTTGAGAGTCATGCCTCACCAACACTTCTACCTCAAAGCCAGGGACCCCTCCATGTACCTTGTAACTCATCTTCCCGACTCGGATAAGGGGTACAAGGACGATATTCTTATTTTCAAGGGATCTTGGCAGAGAGGTGTTGGTCCCGAGTATAACGGCTTGTTATGCCCTCTGGAATGGAGAACGACAAGTACATCGGTTCCTGCGGGTTTATTATTTTGTTCTCCAGATTTTTCATGTTCATGACTACTTTTTTGTTTGTGCAGATATCCCTGCTCGGGAAACAGCTCCTCCCCCTCGGTCGCTGGTGAACTTTGCCGACCTAATCACGGTTTGGAGATTCACGGGTGACAACGGGTTCGGCCGGGCTGCTCACATCCTGCTGAATTATACCCCCGGGTATAAGAAATTTTCACAGCTTCCTCAGCCTTTTGAGCCTTCGCGGTGGTCTGAACTCTTCGATCAGGCGGCGAGGCAAGAGGTCGAGGAAAACTTGGAAGAAGACCCTGATCGGGCTTCGGAGGCAGAAGTAGAGGGAGAAGTTGAAGAGCTCGGGGTCAGAGAGGACTTTGTTCCTTCGGACGCCGAGGTGGGGACTTCGGGAGGAGACTTGTGGCCAGACTTCCAAGTTCTACAATCTTTAGACGCCGAGGACGCCCTCGAGGTCGCGATGTCCAGCACGCCTCGCATCGACCTGGGGTTCCTGAGGCAGAGGCAAGCCCTTGCTGCCGGGAGGGGTCGAGGATCGACCGGCGGCGCCCCATCTGCAGGGACCAGTTCCACCCCATCCTCAAGAGTTCTCAGTCGGGGTCAAGTGCGTGACCGGGATCCTCAGGTAGAGGAGGAGAGAAGGGTCAAACATAGGCACGATGGCCTCGGCAGAGGATCCAGGGCATCTTCCGCTCAGCAGCAAAGCGGGAGAGGCCGTGGGTTACCCCCTGCTCCTCCGCAACAGCAGCAACAGCAACAGCAACGACAACACCAACAACGGCAGCAGCAGACTCCCCCTTCCCCTCCGCCGACAGTGGAAGCCGCGGAGTGGAATCCCCGAGCCACCGATCACATGAACCGAGTGATCAGGGTCGATGATTCCATTTTGCTGGATCCTCATGTCGCCAATGCAGTGAGTGAGACACTGCATTTCGAGGCCGACATGGCGGCTCACAGGGGGCGATCAACGAACGTGTTGTTCCGCTCTATCATCCAGAATTCCCTGGTGGTAAGTTCATTTTTGCTTTGGTTTCTTCTCTCTCGCTTTCCATTTTTGTGATACGTCTTTTTCCCTCCTTTGCAGGCTACCCAACAGATCTCCATAATAGCTGCGCGGTACCATGGGTCTAGGATGGACCTCCAGCGGGCCCGAGAGCAGAAGGAAGAGGCGGAGGGGGCCCTCGCCCGAGCAATGGAGGACGTAGCTGCCAGGGATTCTACCCTGGCGGGGCAGGCTGCTCAAATCGAACAACTCCTCAAGGATGCCGAGTCGGCTAAGGTTGGCGCTGAAAAGCTAAGTGCTGCCCTTGCCGATGCTGAGGGGAGAATCACCGAGCAGACGCGGCGGCTTTCTGCCGCGGAGGAGAGGGCGGTTGGCTCAGAGGAAAGCTGTCTGGCTCTCACCCAGGAGCTGGACAGGATCAGGGCCGAGGCACTGAACAGGAAGTCAGAGGAGCAACTCCGAGAAGAGTTCGCCGATGACGTGCTCC